TCGGAGGGGAACTCTTCTGGGTCCTTGACAGTATAGCGTTGGCCGGTGCTCGGTAGTTTCGGGATTGGTCAAGTATGGTACAAACAATTTTAAAAAAAAAATAGATCACCTCCCTTATACATATGACTCTCACATATAATGATGGATTTACACGTGGTCAGCAATGCGATTAGTTTTGTATGACCAATTGTAAAAGAATGGACTCCAACTCTAGGTGTGGAATATGTTCTAGTCTAGCAATTTTTTTGACATATATATTACTAGATATACGGTTGGACTACCGGTGAGGACAATAGTTAAGAGATTCGACTATAAAAACCCTTTCAAGTTTGAAAATTAAATAGAGAAATATTACTAGACTAATATACAATTCATAAACTCCTAATGGACCTATGAAACCAAGCTTAGTAACTTAATAATTTAATTTCTTGCAACACATTTTTCTATATGGAAGTTGGGTATATAGCCAAACTTATTTCTAATTTTCCTGGACAATTTGCAATTACTTAATTCATTTGCTTTTGTTGAAACAAGATGAACAATTTTATTTCTCCCTTTTTTGTGGGCGTATATTGCTACGAAAACGTGTGAGGAAAGTCAATTTCCATGGATATCTGAATCTTCTTTTTTCATCCTCCCAAAAAAAATGTTGACCCTAGTTTCCAAAAAAAAAAAATATTGACCGTAGGATTCTGCTTTGCTGCGCCAAAACTTAGACCAAGGGCGACAATAACGTGGGCTAAGTTTGTGTTTTGGAATGAGGATCCTTTCCGGATTCTCTTTATGAGGATTCGAAGATTATCTAATTGTATATATTCATCATACATCGTGCAGTCAAAACTATTTTAAATTTTATATTTAAAAATTGGATACAATTTACGATGAACAGACACGATTAAAGAATTTCCTAGATTCTCACGGAGAGGATCTTCATTCTGTGTTTTGTTTGTGTGAGCTGTATGTGCTTGGTACGACCTACGAAATAGTAAACGGGCATCAACTAATCCAGAAAGTTGAATTTGTGGAGGGGGTTTTCTACTTTTATTGCCTGGGTCGCAAGTCTACTACACATGAAGGATTAAGGAATGACCCAGTCGGTTCAAACTTATATATTTTATCTGTTAATACACCGTTAATTAAGTGCTTAGTGAGTTGTTCCTTGTTTCAATATTGTTTAGTGTTGACAACTTGACAGACACGCATACTAGCTAGGTACAGCAAGTCTTAGAATTCTTCAACTCGTAAGAATGCGAGGATATATTGCATAAGAATGCGAGGATATATTGCATATGTGTTTAACAAAATTAAGGTTTTATCATAAAATTAATTGACAACGTCGGAAGTAGTCAAATTATTTATAAACACATGCAAATTACGATGATGTTGCTTTGTCGTTGATGCATTGAGCAATTATAAAAATGATGTATATGTCACTCAGTATTAGGGTCTGATAGTATTCCTCTTAACTTGGAAGTGAGAGGTTCAAATCTCGTTGATGTCGAATTTGATACAAAATTAGGCTGCCCATTGTGTAGTTTGGCCGAACTCTCCCTTCTTTTAGTGTAAAAATATCAATGTACTAAAAAAAAAAATGATGTATATATTATTTGTCAAAAAAAGATTAACAAGCTAAGATGAGAACAAGAGTGGTTTTGACTTGTCCTACTAATTCCTTTCGTGACCAGAAAGAAAGTCAGAAAGCTCCAAAAACCTTAATCCATAAGGGATGGGGAGTAGATAATTATAAGCAAGTATCCATCTAGAAGGATAAGCATTTCAAACATATATATATTACGCAAAATAAATATTTAAGGAAAGGTATTAAATTCCTGATAAATTTTTTATCAAGACCTATATTTGTACACTCCTCTATTTATACTTATTCATTCTCAATCAATGAATATCGTATTATTTTCTCAAAAAAAAAAAAAAAAAAAAAGCAAAATCACGTGCTAAAGAGAGTGAGTCATCACCCTATTAATTTCTTTTATGAGTAAATTAGGACTGAAATTCCAGAAGAAACTGATAATTCATGCATATAATCCAAATACATATATATCGATGGGAAAATGTTATTCTGTCGGACTCATGTAATTAGGAACCACTACTTTTTCTTATGATTTAATAAAAATTGAATTATTATGTATATATGAAAATAATATAAATGTAAATGCAACTGTCATTGCATCATTGTACTGCGAAAACATAAACGAAAGTGTATTGACATTACTAATTAATAATTTCCTCCATTAACATCTTAACAACAAATATACACTCTCATAACAACAAATATATTATCTTCCTGAGATTTACTTTCTTTGTATGGTTGGTAACACACTATTCTCAACTAGGATTTATATGGTGGCGGCGTACGTTCAAAAGTAGGTCGAGAGTTTTGACTGGGATGAGTTAAGAATTGTCATCTCTAGTGTAAGCATTTTGTTGCTATCTACCACGAAAGTTTTTTGTCTAAAAAATCTCATAATAATATTAAGGATTTATATGCTAGTGTATCTCTCATAAGTACTATTGGTTTGGATTCTCATCTTATAATAACCGAATATTATTCACGGTTTTTCCCCATATCCAAAATATACCCGAATTTTCATATCCTAATCCAATCCATTTGGGTGGTTATCCATGATTATCGGTTTTAACGGTTAGAATTGTCATCCCTAGTGTAAGCATTTTGTTGCTATCTACCACGAAAGATTTTTTGTCTAAAAAATGCCGTACCTTCCCCGTTCATAAGGCAATGTTTGTATAATAAACACTAGCATTTGCCTACACACTCTGTGTGTATAAACACATTTTTATAGAAAATGAGAAGAAGAGAGGGGGAGAGAGAGAACGTGGGGGAGTGAGAGGTTTTTTTTTTTGGTTATAAATATATTATGTATGTATGTTAGAGGTATTTTAACATCACTTGTAGGTGAGGCTTCAATAAAAAACAATAAAATTTGGACATGTAAAATTACATTATTGCCCATCATTTTTTTGTGTGATAGAAGACTAATTTGTCTTTTCACCCTCTTTTGATTGATAAAGAGAGTTTTATTAATTAGTAGAGATTAGTACACTACAAGGATACAAACAATGAACTACTCAAAATACTAACTCAATCGAGATAATTGATAATTAAGTAGCTTAATGAAAGTGCTTGAATATATGCTCATTTAACGAAAATTTCAAATAGCAAGTATACCCCTATATGTTTTACAAAATTACAATTTTTTTCCTACATTATTGTCTTTGATACTTATTATATCACATTAATACTATATCATTTTTAGTCATTTAATTAACATATTCAAAGCAATTTATATAAAAGTTTACCAAACACTGTTTTTTTTTTATTAAAAACACTTTTACAAAAAAAATTTGCCAAACACCAAACAACTTTATTTTACAGTTATTTATTCTCATAGCACAACAAAAATATTTTTTTTTTAAAAAAAACACAACAATATCAAATTAACCCTAATATAGTCGTTAATTTAGGTATTGATGCTGAGGATGGATGGAGAATAACAGGAAAGATTTAGGCACCCTTTATTCTATTTTCTATGAGATTATTAGATTCTTATCCCCGTTTTACTTTTCGCTTTTTTTCAACCAACTCACAATTTGGACTTTTCCACTTTTCTTTCCCCCCACAAAACTTTCTGCCCAAGTTCCAGCTACCTCAACGAATCCCACTAAATATATTTTTCCCTCGGTCCTTTTTCGAATACTAAAAAATCCAACCAAAAAACACGAAAAATAATTTTATTTATTTATTTTTTGTTGTTGTTCGATAAGGAGATAAAGATGAACTCCCTGAATTGCCATGCAACTACAAGTCACAGCCCCATTCACATGAGCATTTAGTACTTCGCCCATGACTTGTCCCTTCCTCCTGCTCCCCCACCCACATCTTTTTAATAATAATATCTAATCCGCTACGATGCCACTTAATATTATGATTTAATAATATTTCTTTTTACTTGTAAGTGTTGTAAGTGAGATGTCTTATGTTCGATTCTTATCAAAGGTAAATTTGAACCATATTATTACTAGCTCTTTAGGAGGTTTAGTCAACTTCCCACCATTTAGTGTAGATAATATCTTCTTCTTTTTTTTAGGAAAAAAAAATCCACTACAACCCACCCCACGATACACCTCTTTGACTTTCAAATTTCCCTCCCCACGCAAGTCAACCCCATCCCAAGCACATGACAAAGTAGTAAATTGCTACCTCCTTAGTTTTATTATACAACTTACCAGACTACCTCTTGCGTTCACGTTTTTCCTCTCTTTTTAACATCTATCAAAATTGTCAGTATTACGGTATAATAATACTCCTATAAATGAGAGATTCTAGTTTAGTATTCTTGTAAGCGAGAAATTTTAAATTAGATTTTCGTCAAATGAATTCAACCCAAATTAATATGGCTAGCCTACTCCCACATCTTTTAGTGTAAATAATATCGTATCTATTAAAATATCCACCAAAATTTGGTAGATAAATATTAATGAGACTCTTTATAAACTCATGCTGCTTATATTTGTAGTATAATATTTTATAATGTTAACACAATATTTAACGTAAAATTACGATTCATAATCGCCATGAATCAAAATTAAAGTCGTCAAAATTAATTTCAATGATCCAATTGCTTGCGCATAACAACAAATGATTTACTAACACGTAGCGACAATCAAACGCCCCCTTTCCCTTAGGTTCGAGGAAATTCACAAGTGGCTGCTCCAGACATCATCCGCGTGGTAATAAAGACGTGTACCGTGTGAATCCGAAGCTGCCACCAACGACCGTCAAAACGTCCCCACCCGCCAATATTGGCCAACGGCTTATATATAAGCCACCCCCACCCGGTTTCATTTTCCACCACCGACTCCAAACCATATCTTTCAAACTTTAATTAATTTCATCATCCGCCTCTCTCTCTGTCAAGTCTCAACTTCAAAAACCCTAAATTCTCGATCGAACAAAATTGAAAATGCAAGCGGTTTCCGTGTTTTCCGTGTCGCCGAGCTTCAATTCCAAGGATTCCGTGAGCGATTTCGAAGCCGAATACGCGCAGCTCTCTGCGAATTTCAGCTCCCAGCTCCAAATCGCCGGTTCCGGCGGCGATTTTGAATTCGAGGACGCTGGGAAGCCAGAAATGGAAGATAAAGAAGCTCAAAGCGTGGACGACGGCGGCGAATGCGAGACCGAAAACGAAGACGATTTCTCTTTCGCCCCCACGAAAGCCGACGGTTCGCCGATTTCTGCGGACGATATATTCCAAAACGGCCAGATCCGGCCGGTATTTCCGTTTTTCAACCGAGATCTTCTCTTCGCCGAAGCCGACGACGGCGATGCTTCCAGAGCCAGAGCGGCCTCGTCTGCAACTTCGTCCTCGTCTCTAAGGCCGCCGTTGAAGAAGCTGTTCTTCGAAGAGCGGGACACGCAGTCGTCGTCGGCGTCCGAGTTGGACGAGCTCCAAGGAGTCCCGGAAGGAACGTACTGCGAGTGGTCAAGGAAGCCGATGGAGGCGGCGCCGGAGCTCCGGAACAAGAGCAATTCCACGGGATCCTCGAAGCTGTGGAGAGTCAGAGACTTGAACCTCCGGAGCAACAGCGACGGCAAAGACGCTTTCGTCTTCCTGAACCCTAAGTCGGCGGCGAGCCAGAAGCCGAGCCAAGGATCGGCGGCGGATGGGAAGAGCAGCTCTGAGATTCAAAAGACGGCGGAGAAGGTAAAGAGGAAGGCTAAGAAAGTCGAAACGGTATCGTCTGCGCACGAGAAACATTACGTGAAGAACAGAGAGAAGAAGGAAGGGGATAAACGGCGGTCGTACTTGCCGTATCGGCCGGTGGTTGGGTTCTTCACCAATGTGAACGTATTGAGCAGAAACGTTCATCCTTTTTGAGGAATATACCGGTCATTAAATTTTTGTTTAGTTTTTTTGGGTTTTTTAATTGTTTAATTAATTTATGTAAATGATTTTTGATAGCAAAGTTATGTAAATTATTGGGAACGGAGAAAACGAAATCTTTTGTCTTTTGGTAGAAAGGTGTTTTTATAAAATGTGTATAAAAAAAAGTTAACTTTAAAAAGGTATTCAGTAAACATTTAAAAATAATTTATTTACATAGTTTTAGATAAAAAAAAGAGAGCTTATTCTCACAAGATATCAGAAATAGTTTTTTTTTTTTCAAAGCACAATAATACCAAACCAGCCCTTAGATGGTAGATGATATTATTAGGAACCCAGAGTCATTTATAATTTTATATTGTATTGAGCTGAGAATATTCTTTTTTTTTTTTCAAATGTACAAGAAGAAATGATGAAATCATTGAATGAAAGAAAAATTCTCAACATAAAAATCTTCTCTCAATCTAGAGAAATTTTTAGTTGTGACGAGAACACGGATGGTACACTATGTGTTTTTATGCAAGTGGTGAAAAATTTTAATTTTTAAGTTATTAACCTTTTAACATACATAACCCGCTATTTATATAGGGATACGTGATGTACCATATCGTGTGATGGTCATATTAAAAAATCTCTCCTCAATTTGCACCACAACTTCCAATTTAATTTTGGACTTTCTTAACTTTTCAAAACGTGTTGATTTAAAATTTAATTTTGAGCTCTTTTAATTATTTAAAACGTGTCAATTTATCTTAAGTCGAAACTAAGTATTCAATAGGAGAGACTTCTATAGAAATTTCCCAAATGAAAATCATTGCTAAATGATGATCATCCTCAAAGTGGAAGCTTTGACGTAAGCCCAAACATGATGAGCAATTTACATATAACGTGTTCGTTACCATCATGATGTTTTGATCCAACAATGCATATATGAAAGAAAAGCTTACAAAGTCAATATATTAGTAGACTTCTGTCATTTAGTATTACGGTTTAGTGATATTCTTTTTTACTTGCAAGTGAGAAGTTTAAACTCTCGTCAAAAGCGAATTTAAACCACATTATTACTAGTCCATTGTGAGACTAAACCTAATATCGTGTGTTAAAAAAAATAAAATAATATATATATATATATATATATATATATATATATATTATTGGACTACAAAAGCATGATAAAAAGCCTTTTTTAAAGCCCATTGAAGAAGACATTATGGCAGCCAGAACATTAAGGGAAACGGTACTAGTTGTCCAGTACTTGCCCCTACAAGACCGGAGAGAAACCATAATTGTGTGTGGACGGCTCCATAATAAGGAGGGCACTTTTCATGCCCCTCCTGTTTTGTATGATCACGGTTAAACCACGTTAACATTTTATATTACTATTTATTTTTATCTTATTATTTCTATAAAAAATAAAAAAAATATAAAATATTAATGTGGCTTAACCGTGATCACACAAAACAGAAGGGGCACGAAAAGTAGGAGAGCAGAGAATCTGCCTCCCCATAATAATACAGCGTGGACCACCACCGACTCTGGCAGCCAGCACCATTATTGTACTTGAACCCAGCGTATAAACTCCCACAGCCAACCCGGCAGGGTTAGTTGAATCTTCAAAATGCTATTTATTGAGCATCAAAACTCATACAAGAGATTCTCGAGTCTCACCAGTTGCATACACGTGTCTATCTCTTTTATCTCATTACAAGCAACGGCCTGATGAATCACCGCATTTGAAAGCTTCCCTTTCTTTGATTAGGAACATATACGAAATTTGTTATCGTGTGATGTGAGAAACTGATACATAGTTAGTATACAACGGGTAAAAAGTTAAAACAGTAAGTTCAGAATAAAAGAGAGACATCTGACCCACCACCAGTTGATCTTCAAGTATTGCTCCATCTTCGCATCCTTAATTTCAAAACGTTATTTACAGTTTTACACTGGTTAATTATGCAGATACATTTTTCCCGTTGGTTACTTTTATTACATATTACTGTCACGGTAGGGTTTATCTACATTATTACGTCATAAAAACCTTATCCAAAGCTCTGTTCCAAGGATTCACTTTGCCAAATTCTTGCAAATTCTAAACAGGCATTATGTCAACGCAAGTCGAAGATTTCGAACCTCAGATTTGAATTCTTGTATACATTAGAGCAGTGCTCGAAAACGGGACTCCCGTCTGTTGTTTCTCCGTGAGGATGAAATCCTTGCTCCTGGCACGCTTTCAGGACACTCATCCCGCCAGGATCAGATAGCCGAAATATTCCATAGCTCCTGGAGAAATCCCAACACAGATTTGTTAACATATAAGCACATAGCAAACCTTGTCCCTCACCTATGTGGGATAGCTCTCAACACGTCCCCGCATGTGTGGCGGATTTTCAAACCTACACGTGGACAACAACTGGGTGACGTGGAGCGCTCCACACGAGGACAACCCGCTCTGATACCATGATGAAATTGAGGTTCCACCATAAAACCAATTGGTAATATGAAGAGTAGCCTAAGACCATATAAGAACATAGCAAATCTTGTCCCTCACCTATGTGGGACAGCTCTCAACAACTCATATTACCAATTGGTTTTATGGTGGAACCTCAATTTCATCACTTAGAAGTATACTCGAGCTCTCTCTTAGTTATCTGTATTTTTGGGCTTATGACTTACATTTCGAAACATTTTCGGTACAAAATATGAACCATGAGATATTCATGCAGATGCAGTTGGATATTCAACTGGAATACTTAATTAGTTCTGCAATGGGGTTCTTATTTCGCTACCAACGTGGTTTGGCGTACTGGTCAAATTTTCAAGGGGAAACTGGTGAGCAGAGAAGGATACGCTTCCAAATTACTGCATTCTCTCCTTCATTTCCTTTTACGCTTGTTTGTGACAGCTGACTGAAATTTTTATGTCAGTGTCAGAACGTCAGTGTGGCATGGACGTGCATAACAAAGACTCATGACCACAACAAAGGGTGTTACCGTTCTTAGTGAAGAATGAAGATGCTACAAGAACAAAGGCAAGGACAAAGACCGAGGGAATGGACGATAGCATCTAAAGCTTGTGGGCTGAAATATAGATGGAAGGAGATTAAACATTTAAGACTTGACTCTAAAGCTACTAAAATGAAATTGCCAAATTTTGTTTAAAGCGTAACGACTGAACCTTGTAATTAGTGTTGCAGCATACCTTGAGGTATCAGTTGGAGCCATGACAACGGCAATAGCCTCGGGTATCATAACCTGAAGACAAAAGTTGGAAAGACAAAAGTTAAAAGTCGAAGCATATGACAGCATATTGAGGAACCAGATTAACATGTTAACCATAGTCCCTAATTGAAGCAGACAAAACCACACCCAAGAAGGCAATTTAATATTTCAGAACAAGCCAACATGGGAAATGGTATGAAGTTCATAATGTTACTGTATCTAATTTTAAGTTCTTCTAACCTATGTGTGCTTAACGTTGAAATCCAAATATTTTATCTTAAACAATTGCAAGAAAATAAAATTCTAAGACCATATAAATTTTGCAACTAAAGAATGGAAGTGGTTCCCCTACCTGGTACGAATAATGAGTGTGCAAATCCACTGATGACATGAAACAACTTTGAGAAGGATGTGTCTGAAAACAAATGGTTAACAAAATGAACAAGAAACTGTCAATTGTATAGCGACAAAGGAGGAAGCAAGCAGCAGAAGAAAAGAAAATTATGACCTACATGGATCCATCCAACCGGAAAAAGTGAGTGTTCGTTTTGAATGGCAAAAGCTTCCTCATCGTTTGTTGCCAGACACTGTCATATTTTGTAGTCATAAGAAAACAGAAATAAGATCACACCACGTAGTTGGACGCGGCATGGGCAACAGGAATAGTCTTAAGTCCAAACAAGATGAGTGAAAGGCTATAAGGACTTACAGAGCTGGAAGTTGATTCCTGTTTGGGTATGATCAGAGTTGTCACATAGAATGTTCCATTTTTCTATACATACACAGAACAAAAAAATATACATTACTTTTCAAGGAAAGATATCATATAACATTGTGAATGTGTACATATGGACTAAAGGACTAGATTTTGAAATTGAAAATGGTGAGAAACTGAGAGAGATTTGGGTTACTTTAAACAAGATTTGGAGACAGAAGAAACAGTCTGAAGATCTGAAGATAGTTTCAAATGCAACAAACAAACGCTTTTAGAACCAATGCAGAGTGTGAATCTTACAAGAAAAGCGCCAAGAATCCCGCAGGTTTCTAGATCCTTCTCCGTGTTTTCTTTAGCAAGATCAAGGAAATCTTCCATTAACTGAGCTGACTGAAAAAATAAGTATAGCAATTAATTATCAAATATCAATGCTCAATGCAGAAAAAATACGTCCACAGTTTGCATGAAACACATAAAACTACAAAACAAAAAGCCAGCATTGAGGTAAGTTTTTACAATATGTACATCTCGCAGGACCCCAGATGATGCTGATTTATTAGAAGACTGTGACTGACCATGTTCTGTATTTGCGTCCGTAATTTGTGATATATTAGAACTTTGAGGCTTTTCTACGCAAGAGATTACAGGTGAAGGAGAGCATTGAGTAACAGAATGAACTGTGATATTCTGATAGTCACTAGTTGTCTTCAAAAAGTTTGGACCAGGAAATTTACACGCGAAGCAACTACTGCCAGATTCCACTGAACACAAAGATGACAACCTAGGATTTTCCCCATCGATGCCCCTGGCGCTGTATAAAAAAAGGGAGATGATATGATAATCCTAAATTAACAAAATCTCCGTAAAGATGTTAACTTTTGCCAAATTGTGAACGGTTCGCTGAAGTGGATATACTTCTTGATAGGAATTACTATACCTTATATGGCTTCTCTCTGCCATGGCTTTTTAACCTGAGTGAGAAACTGCGGCCACTATTATTCAAACCAATTTGAAGCTACAAAAAATTAAGATGATTTCCCTAAAAGAAAACACCAACTCATTATTTGAAAATAAAAAGTTTAGATCGAAACATAATTTGAAAACTGTTCTTCCTGATGCAAACACCATTCCGGACACCTCATGTCTATGATGCACATATCACCCAGTTCAAAGTACATACAGTATCAAAAGCGAAGAATCTCATTTCTGTTTGTCTTATGATTAAGAACTTCTTTGTTGTTTGCCTTGAGTAATTGCTAATTAACTCGACTGCCGAGTTATAAATTTATAATTAACCTCATTCGTCGGTCTGTGAATCCAAATTACCACATTTATAAACGCCCTTTTCCTTCATTACATGTAAACAAAGAGAAAATTCCAAGTCACCATTTAGATGGATGGTTCCAAACAAAAATATTAAAACTTGGTATAAACAACCTTCACCATCGGACATGGTAAGTATCCTAATCACTCAGTCACTTTTACCAACTGGACTGCAGTTTAGAACAATACCATCATTATCATACCACTCTAACTCGAAAGTTCTAACAATACCAGAGGCACCATTTGGTTTTACAATTTCAAAAGGGTATTGAAATTTCGAAGGGCCCGGGAGAAAACAACACAACTAGAGGTCGCTAATCAACCTACTGGGTTGTCACTCTAAATACAACCCCCAAAACAGTAAAACAACCAAGGCATGGAATCGGAAACCGTTGTGAAAAGGGGTCTAAATCACCATTAAATCCAGAAATTATTGATTGCCCACTAATTATAAAGGAAAAATAAACAAAAAGGAATCAGCTTTTTAAGCGATTCTTCATACCTGTCAAGCAAAGAGATGAACTTATGCAAATTTTCAGCTTCGCACCCCTTTACCATTCAAAATGGTTTTCATATTTCAAGCTTTTTGCTGAATTGGGTCCTCTTTGTAAATAGATGAACACACCGCACGATCACCCACCATGGAGCTTATGACACCACACCCCGCAAGCTCATGCCACATGTTTTTCTGTACGTCTCCAATAGCTTCCCTCTTTTTTGCTGAACGACTTGCCGTTTGGATTAGGAGGAACGTTTGTGTACGGTCATGTGTTGTTAACATGCTCCATGTTATATTTGGGTGGACAATTTTAAGGTATAATAATACAATGTTACAAATTCGACTCACATACATGTCAAAGACTGAATGTATTATATTTATGTTGAGTCTAATACATAATTAGTAGCACGCTCATTATGCGATATTATCCAGTCTTCCTTTCCGAATAGATTATTTCCCCCCCTTAATAAGTCCACTTGCATGTGAACAATGTATTGCTTGAAGTTATTGCTCGGCTCCAAGTCCAGCAGGGAGGGCTGAGTGATTGCCTTAGCAAATATTGGACTGTTGGAGCTAGTTTTTAGTGTTTTGGTCAACTCTTCCTCTGCTTTGTATATAAAAGTGGTCCATTTATATAAAACAAATATACACGTAGGTATTATAATTTAAGTAAAACAACAATTCCACATGAAGGTGTTCAAGATAAACGCAAATTGCACTCACGGATTGAGGTTATTTTGGGTGAATTGGGATGAGGACAGAGAAGACATCTCTTTCAGTACTAGGAGGGAGAAGATTGGTAGCCGAGGGTGACGGAGTAACATACCTAATATGAGATCCTCATTCCACACGGGTAGGAGGCTCCTAGCCTTCCTCTATCCATTCGGATTTTATTACGAATAGTACGGTGTATACAAGTTAGAGGAATGTTTCATTGGTTTTGCCCCCAATACAAGTACAGGAACAGTAGCAAAATATTGGATGGCAATGGCTGCTTGACTTTTTCTTCAGTGGCGGCTGACGGCTTAACCTCCCTTCCACAGTCTAACAGTGTCAACTGCAGAAGACAGAGGAGTCCATTCTGTCTGATGTAGCTTTTCTAGGTAACCTGTCTTTTGCTTTTTCCAATGAACATTATATTATGCTAGGCAGGGTGTCAAGTGAACCACTGTGAGTCGTTGATACTCGTGATTCGTGAACGTCAACGGCGCACACGTCGTGTGCCTCTATTTCTTGCACTTGTTTTTTTATAGCCAGTTTGATAGAGTTGTTTGACTAGAGTAGGATAGCAAATATGAAACCGACATGAAATCGAGTGAGTCCAACTAAATTATAAGGTGTCTCATGTTTTATGAGAGTGGCCTAACTAGCTAGGATTAGAGCGCAACACTTTCATTGGGTACATGTTCAAAATGCTTAATAAGAAGAGATTTGGAGAATGAAAATTTACGTAAGTGATGGATTGCATTAGTCAGTAGGGTTTTCTTTTTTAGCTCATTTCATCACATAGTATCACTTGTATCAAAAAATGAAAATTTACACCGGGAATGTATATGTTTTGTTTGTTTAATTAATGACAGGTCGAGAAATAACATAAAAGAAAAGGTTATGGCTGTGACACTTAAAAAATGCTTGTTATGTTGCATAACAACGAAGGCCACGGTACGTTCTCGAACTTTAAAACTTGATTTTATTCATATATTGAAGAATATTTTATGAATAATTCAACAAAAATGCTATTTTACCATTTATTTGTACCATCACTTGTAACATCTCTCTAATAGAGATGAGATCCAGATGCGTTGGCAGACCCTACCTCTTATAGACATGGTACAAGTGATAGTACAATTAGATGATAAGTATAACACTACTCATAATTCAATATCGGTCCGATTATTATTTGATACAAAATTAATAGCAAGCAACAATTTCTAAGTTTATTGACTTATGTAAAAATATTTATTAGTGATAATTAAATTGGTATTTGCTTTCAAGTTTTCAATAGCATTTCATATCACACTAAAGAAAAAATAGGACTGGTGTCATGGTGACCATAGAAAGCTACAACTACAAGCTCAACAATAGTTGCAACTCGAAGACAATGATTTGATTCCCCTATTTCTAAACCCAACAAGCACGTCAATCATGAGTGGTTTAGTCAATAAAATTGTCCCTCGTGGCCATCGGTCATGAGCTTTTATGTCAAAAAAAATTATAGATCCAAGCAATTAGCCTTAAATTTGAACAATTAATTACTAACCTTAATAGATTAAATCGTGATTTAAATCTACGTACAGACAAAGGCAAATGTATATTGTGAACCACCCGGAGTTCGGAAAACATATGAGTGCCCACCCCTGGTCTAAATTGAAAGATCCCAATAGATTTATGATGGATCCAATTCCAACCCAAACCAAGTACCAAGACAGATCTAATTAAAGGCTTAATGTTTAATTAAAATGAGACACTGGCGACATCATCGTGTTAGTTAAAGTTCAAGATCAACACATCTCTCAGCAATCTGCAAGAAGCAAGAAGATCGATCGAAGCTTCCCTTCTCACTTAATCGTGTCTTCTGGTCTAGTAGCTACTACTAATTATATATTAATTCACGAAACTCCATAACTTTCATACACTAATCTAGCATTGCAATTTGCATGCATGAGATATATACTATACTAAAACTGCTTAATTAGGTTCCTTGTTTCATCATTTTACTGCTCTCACTAACCTATTCCGGTACTCCATGAACAACGAAGCAAATGAAGGGGTTAAAACCACAAATAAACTAATAACACATCAAGACGTGTTGATATTAAATCGAAAACACATCAAGACATGTCACGATAACAAGTGGCAAATGGCCTTCTGCTTTTTCGAAAGGGTGCAATCAGAAATGCGACCGCTCTGTGGAAGTGGCCAAATATGACTCTTAATCAAAACCCAAAATGTCTTTCTTTAGGGAGACGATGAAAACAACAACAAGAAGAAGAAGATAATATCTGATAAAAATTCAGTGTCCGTTGCGCAAGCGACAATTTAAATTGGAATTTCGACAGTTCGTAGGGATGCCTCCAGCTAAAAATACAAATAAATAATTGCTTTTAATCGTCACTCGCCTTATGTTTTTATTTTATTTTCTAATCATCACTGCTTGTCGTCACGTTCCCTCTACCCACCCCGTGGCGTCCACCTACAACTCTTCGCCTAATAGATATTGGTGATTTTTCATTATTAGGAAAACTAATGAAAAATTTTTGAAAATTTTGAGTTATAACGAAAAAGATAAAATAAAGAGTAAAATGAATATTACCATGATTGATTTTTTAGTGTAAAAATATGATTTTTCGTTAAAGTTACCTTCATTCTTTTCTTTCTTTACATTTAACCATAAATACATCTATTAAATAAATTTTTTTATACCAGAAATACATTATTTTTCCTAAAAGAACTTACAAATAGTGTCTTAATTTGACATTCTTCGTTTTGGTTTCGAGCACTTGAGAGACTAATTGATAATTATTTCGTTTTTAATTTTTATAAATTAAAAACTGAAATCTTATTTGTTAACTATTTTCAGTTTTAAAAAATTGAAAATAAACCAAAATGCAAAAAACTCAATACCAAATTTTGAAAATTTAAGAAAGTAGTGCTACAGTCTAGTGATATTTCTCTTCACTTTTCACTTGTAACTAAGAAGTTTTAGGTTTTGAACTACATTATTATGGTTAGCCTAGTGTGCCCACTCCCCCACCCCTAAACTGTAAATAACATCATTTGTTCAAAAAAAAAAAAAAACCGAAAATAAAATGGTTACCAAATGATCTCTAATTTTTTTGCTTTCGGTTGAATCATCTAGTTTACTTTCAAAGTTCTTATTTGCCTACCATCTTAAAATTTTGTAACATTGTAATTAGTATTTCATTAAAAATACCATAATGAGTGCAAACAATGCTTAATCTATGTTGCAAATGACGCTTTACTACACCGATGAAAAATCATAATGTTTATGTACTCTAGTATAAGTTCGATCGTCATTTATTCCTCCTAACATTCAACAATTTAACCGACTAAAAAAAAACTCAATCAAATGACCAATTTATGGTAATCGGCGTGTTATAAGATTAACACAATTCAATGAATGTTTACCTTTTGGGAAAAAAGAAAAAGAAAATCAAATGAATGCGAGAGAAATGATGAATGACGAAAGAAAGATAACAGAAGTAATGTGAAAGAAATACCCAACCACACGGCAATTTACCCTCCTTTCATGTCCATTTCCTATGGTCCAATTTGTCCTACGTAAACTAATCAGTCCACAAAAATATAATATTATTATTTGCGTTTGCCTATAAATCAAAATTTAAATGCCAAACCATCATAGGCATAGCTTACCTGAGTAGTGCCCAACTTCTGGTGACTGACAGACCCTCCTCCCTCCCTTCCCCTTCCTCCTCCTCTAATCCTCGTTAGCTCAGGATTCAAATCTCTCGAATTTCCCAAACGCCGGATTCGCAGGTCCGTACACACACATTCTCCTCCTTAATTTCTTCGATTCCTCGCATGTCGAATCACAATCATGCGAATTCTGAGATGTCATTTCGTCGATTCGTTGAAGAAATGAATCCTTTTTTTTTTTTTTTTTTTTTTTTTTCAATTTCAGAATCGTATGGTTTTTAATTCAATAATTTTCTCTTCAGAAATTGCCTTTGTTTTCTGATTGGTTGATTTTTTTTTTTTGGGGGGAATTTGCAGAAGGAAGACATGGCGAAGGACTCGTACGAGGATGCCATTGCCGGACTTTCCAAGCTCCTAAGGTACTTTTTCATTGTCCGGACGTTTACTGTAATTATCCTGAACGTAGCTGTCCTTCTCTGTCATTATGCCCTTTCCGTTTCCGTCCTTCTCGGACGCGTTTCTGTTACGGCCAATCAGGCACTTGTTGTTGCCGCTACGTGGGCCCCATTCGGAGTGGCTTTGGATCATCCCCTGTCACCCGTGGGTCCCCCCTCTTTTTCACCTTGGTGTTATCTGACGGCTTCTAAGAGTAACAGTCCTGTTTTTCCGTTACTTTCTGGCAGTGAAAAGGCTGACCTCGAGGGCGTCGCCGCCGCCAAGATCAAGCAGATAACGGCTGAGCTGGCGTCGGCCGACTCGACCGACGCGGTCGAGAGGATCAAAACCGGGTTCACCCATTTCAAGAAGGAGAAATACGAGTAAGCTCCAAAGTTACTATGCTCTTCGAATATTCTGTTCGCTTAATTCCCCACTTTCCTGATCCAACTCAAACTTCCCAAACTACCCTTGTGCTTTATTACCTGAACGAAGGACTTGAACTTTGTTACTCTTTTCCAGGAAAGATGTTGATTTGTACGCCAAACTCGCCGCAGGCCAAAGTCCCAAGGTCAGCGATGAACTGATGATTAAACTCTAATTTTTTCAATTAATTCAGTTATATAATCAGTCAATTTAATTAAAATATGCATTTATACATTAGTATAAATAAATCTGTTACATTATTGAGCTAATTAATTAAGTTGTATTATGAAAATGCAGTTCATGGTATTTGCATGCTCAGACTCCCGAGTTTGCCCCTCGCACATCCTCAATTTCCAACCAGGGGAGGCCTTTGTAGTCCGAAACATCGCTAACATGGTCCCTCCATATGACCTGGTTCGCCTACCAAAACCCTATTTTTTTTTATTAATCTATAACTTCAACACTTCCACTGTTCTGATAACTTATCAAGCTGCAATTCATTTACCAATAGAAACGACTTTTTACATATAAGAAACCAAACATGCACGACATGATCAACAATTAAGCGTAATTAACAGCGCTTACCCTTCACAAAAATTGCGCATGATTTGTGACTGAATCAAATCAAATGATGAAATATGCTTCAAAAACTGTATAAAATGCAACATGGTCCATCAACTATAAGTTATATTTTGCTTAGTTTGTTGGTGGTTTATTTGTGTATTGTATTTGACCTAATGGGGTTGGTGGTGCAGACAAAGTACTCGGGAATGGGGGCGGCCATTGAATATGCGGTATTGCATCTGAAGGTGAATAAAAAACGACCACTCCTTTCCATATTCAACTTTGCTTTTACTCCGACTGGATTCTGGAACCACTACTTTCATATTCAACTTTTTTATATTATTCTGTGATTCAATCAATAATGGTGACCTAGTCATTGGGTTTGTTCCTTTCCTTGCACACCTTATCATGTTACCCCTCCAAAATAAAAGGGGGCAGAAAGAAAAGGCTTCAAAAGTTGCAGATTTAGAAGCAGGATGAATATTAATTATGTTTGAGTACTATACCTACTTTTTGGCAATGTAGTTTAGAACTTAATTAAAAGAGAATGCATTTCATAAGTGGTAAATTGCCTCCATAGATAGAATATTCTCTTTAGTTCGTTGTATTTTACATTTGAAAACTTAATTAAAAGAGAGAATGCATTTCATAAGTGGTAAATTGCCTCCATAGATAGAATATTCTCTTTAGTTCGGTGTATCTTACGTTTGAAATATCTTTCTTTCTCTTAATCTAGCTTAAAGTATAATTATCGCCTGTACTAAACAAAGGGAAAATGCATTTCTTCAGGTGGAGAATATTTTGGTGATTGGACACAGCTGCTGTGGAGGTATAAAGGGGCTCATGTCTATCCCAGATGATGGGTCCACTGCTAGGTAAGGCTTCACTGATCATAGCAAGAAGAAGTAGGTTTAAAGCCTTCAACACTTTGCATCTTTCTGATTTTAATTTGATTCAAAAGTTGAATAACTCCTCTAAGTACAATAATTTAAGTACACATTCTCGAATGAAGAATAATCAAGGATATTTGCAGATAGACACTTTTAATTTTTTTAATATGGTTTTTAGAACTTCCAAAATTGTTGGCTTCTCCTTCCATGTGGAGTTATTGCTATTTAGTATATAATATATTTGATTTGTGTCGTGTCCTACTCGATCGGAAACGATCGAATATGAAGGACTTTATTCTTTAGTGACTGTGGTACCATTGTTTTTGGAGGCATCCACAAAGTTGTATAAAGCTACAAGTAGAAGGATAATTAAAGTGCTTATAACAGCTTCAGATTATTTGCTTTTTTCAATTCATCTTTGAAATTCTTTGTAACTTTCGGTTTCAGGTTACTCTACTTTTAAATAACATTCTGAAATCTAGCAATAGCGTACTGTCCGTACACAAGGCAAACAGCTTTTACAGTTATGCTACTGTATTTAAATACCATTTTGAAACCCCAGTATTTTCTCATCCAGTTAATTTGTAGTTAGAATAATTTTGTTTTATGCATTGACAGTCCTCCATTTGTATACTGAATTTTCAGTGACTTCATAGAGAGCTGGGTGAAAATCTGTTCACCGGCAAAGACCAAGATTAAAGCTGCATACAGTGGTTTGAGTTTCACAGAGCAGTGCACCAACTTGGAGAAGGTAACTTTGCATTGCCTAAATTAAAGCAAAAACTAGAAATCATAGCTCCTCTTAAAGAGATGGTACGTCCTATGACCGATTGTATACAATCATGCACCTGCTTCTCTCATTACACTAGTCACATGATGAGAAAGATAGACATGACATTATATAAAAGCGTTGACTCATTTTTAATTAGCATTTTTTTTTGAAACGCAACACATTAGCATACCGATTGGATTAATTAGATTAAGATTATTCCAAGTTCAGACATCATAATTAGATTAAGATTGATTAAGATTCTTCCAAGTTCAACCATCTTGTGTTTTGAATGCAGGAGTCCGTGAACATCTCATTGGGAAACTTACTGACATATCCATTTGTGAGAGAAGCAGTGGTGAACAAGACTCTGAGTCTGAAAGGCGGATATTACGATTTCGTCAAGGGCAGCTTCCAGCTCTGGGATCTTGATTTCAAAATTACACCTAATTTGACTGTGTGAGCATCAAACATTGTCCAGAAACCTTCCCTTCGTTTCTTGAAAAATTTCAACTCCATCTTCTTTGGAACAACATTTGGCAAAATAATTGTGTTTATGGCTTGTGTGATATTGAAATATCAAATAAGTATAGCAATGCTGTATTCTGGTTTATTGCAATATGTAAAAAGTTATATTTTCACTAGCAATGTTTCTTAGCTTCAAACGCTGATGAAATTTACCGTTTTACCCATTTACTTTATGCAATGCTGTATTCTGGTTTAATATTTCATCTTACATATTTATCTTAAGACTTTTCCTGAACTAAGAATTTGTTTGCTATCCACCAAAAGACCAAAAGCAAGGACCAAACACACAAGGAACTAACCGTTATGATTTTATAAGTAGATAACTAGAAATTCTTACCATCTATTTGTAGCATCTTTCCAATAGAGATGACACTTACATGTGTTGATGACCCTACGTCTATTGAAAAGATGATGCAAATAGATGATAAGTGTAGTATTACTCCCTGAATTATTTTGTTAGAACTCAGCTCATGTGGCTTTACTTCGTGCATTAATTCGTTTTTCTATACAACATAAGCACGTGAGACACCAAACTAAATAAATGAAAAGAAAAACTATCATAATTACCAACCAAATTAACAAAATAGCAACCAATTATCGACGGTGATCTCTATTACATAACACAAAGCTTTAAATTTATCGGATCATCCTTGCATGCTGTCGGGGGACCTGTCGCTGTCAATGTCCCGGTCCAAATGCCCGGAGAAAATCGGAACTCCACCGGGTTGCAATACACCCGAAAGTTGTTAGGATTTGTCCAATACGATGGCAGCCTAAAATAACCCAACATGCTGAGCTCGAATCTCACCGATCCCTTAGATCTCCCTTCCGAGATTTCATTGGCCACGCCATTACCTATATAGGCCGACACTGTTTCGATTTTGAAGCTGTTAGCGGTCTCGGTTTTCTTGTTTTAAACCGAGGGAGGAGTCACTGGCTTCGTTGCGAGCATGACTATGTCTAGAAGACGGTGGCTTGCAGGCTGTTGAATGACGTGGAGAGCTTGTGGTTAGGGTTTACTGCCACGATCGTCAGGTCCCAGGTGGCGGTTAACTCGGAGCCATTGACGTTGAGTTGGGGTACGGTGGCTGATTCGAGCCGGAATTGAAGGCCTTGAGGATTGATTTTAGCATCCTTGATGACACCCACAATAAGCACCGAGACGACAGGAATGGTCACGAACGCGACCATCAGGCAGGTGATCAGGCAGGTGATCAGGCAGGTGTTTGGCTGGCGAGAAATTGTGCCATCGGCAGAAGCACCCAGAATTAATGATTTTCGAGAGGTTTGTGAGAGTGAGAGAAGTCTTGGGTTTTAGCTAGGGTTTTGATAACTCTATTTATTAGAGAAGCAAGATTGCTTAATAGGTAGGATTTTAATTGCATCAACTTTTTGACCTTTGCGGAACGTCATAATGCTAACAACCTCCTCTCGATAAGATCAAATCAAGTTCGTAATACATAACCGAAGACTAGGTCTTTCTGTTTGAATTGAACTCCACAACTTACTGAAAAATTGTTATCGCTGAAAAGAATTCCAATGTCGGAACGTGGTTAGTGATTAAATTAAGACCATGAAGCACATATTATTTTATTTTTTATTTTTTATATAAAGAAACTATTTTTATTGAGGAAGTAGAGATGGTTTGAAACTGTTACAATAATTTATGAGGAATTTCAAACCCTGGAAACATGGTGAAAACCTAATACCCTCTCTGCTAGGATATGGGACCACATGCGAAGGGCGAAGCACATATTACTTCATATAAACCTAAACCTAAACCTAAACTAACCTATCTATATATCTCTACACACCTACCACTAAGAAATTATTCTGTATCCAACTGTTGACCCTAAAAACTACTAAACCTACGTGGTGTGCAAACCGAGTAACTAATGAGCTAACTACGTCATTTGGTTGTATGCGGGCGTGCCAACTCGTCGGCCGAGCTCGATCGAGGAGTAAAATATGTTGATGTTGCGTTGGGTGCGCTGCTAACTTCTTGATCTTGCGACTGCAGCCGAGACACGTCTCGGCCTTCAGGTTCTAGAGTCTGAAAAGAAGGCTGCTAGTTCTGTGAAGTTCAATATCAAATTCGGCTTTCAATGTGCTGAATGTAGTAACTTGTAACACCTCACTTCGCCGAGAAGGCTAATGAGATGACCTCTGCTAATAAGGATTCGAAAATCCTTCTCGACCGAGGCTTGGATAGATAACCAGTCGGGCCTGTTGCAGTGCTGTTTATCCAAACTGAAGGTGCTTCACGGTCGGTTGATTCTACGGCAACAATGCTGTTTATCCAAACTTGTGTTGGCGAAAAAGAAAATAAAAAACTGAAGATGTGTTGGTGAAAAAGAAAATAAAAAAGTCTCAAGATGTTTGAGAGGTTTCACGTAGAGTGAGGGTTTGCGCATGGCAGTTTTTGTGTTGAGTTGGAGGTCCTTCATGCGTTGCCATTGCCTCTGTATTTATAGGAACATATTTTTTGATTGGCACGGCCTGGATTATGAGCAGAGACCGACTAAAACTCAAACTAATCTGTGGCATAGGCTTAAAGCCTATCTTCAAATGGTTGACTTTTCAAAGCTAATAAAAACCTAACTCATCACCCATCCAAAAGCCTATCCATCTGACAACATCCATCAAACAACCTAACCTACTTAGGTTTTCTATTCACCATTATCCAAAACTTGCAGATCCATGTTATGCCATGTGAAGAGTCCAAGCCAAGCTGCTCTAATTCACATAGTACACTACTAACAAATCCAAATTAACTTGGGTCTCTACGTTGAGGTGATGATTTGCATCCTATTTATTTTGTACAAGAAAATTGAGATAATTTATTAAAAGATAATTATTATGATTAAAAACCATAATATTATCTCTTAACAATAGCAAATTATCTTAACTGACGGTTAAGAATTATGCTCACTCAACAGCCTCGATCGCTTGGGCCGATGGTATAAAATCGGGTCCAAACACCAACACAAATTCAGCCGTACTTATGGCTTGTTTATTAATCTGTAATCACAATGAGATGAATTGAATTGAGGAGTTGGAATAAGATGGAATCAAAATCAGATTCATATTGAAAATAGTACTTAACCAAATTCCAAATATTTATAAATTTAATTTAATTTTTCCAATGAATAATATTAAAATATTCCGAACAAAAATATCATAATTACCAACCAAATTAACAAAATAGCAACCAATTATCCACGGTGATCTCTATTAAATAATACAAAACTTATAATTTATTGGATCACCCAGGCATGCTGTCGACGGACCCGTCGCTGCCAATGTCCCAGTCCAATTACCTGTACAAAATCGGAACTCGACTGGGTTGCAATACACCCTTAAGGGGGAGTGTTGTAAACATTCATAGTGATCAAAACGATCAGCCAAAGCGACTCATAATGCATGTGGATCCTCCTCAGCAAGATATTCAATTTGCAGAGTGTCATGAATATCACTGGCGGAGCCAGGTTAAGGGCTGCCTTGGGTTGTAACCCAGGTAGCTTTCGGTGAAAAATCAAATTTTACACGTAATTTCAATTGATTTTCGAATGTAGTCCACTAAATATTTAGTCACTAATCTGAATTCTCTAGGTTTAACTATATAAAATTATATAATACAGTTTGCAAACCATCTCTTTTTCTTTCATCATTTTTCTCATCGCTTCTTGTACATGTACAAGTTTGGATTTGTTTAATTTGAACATGTATTTTTTTAATTACAAATTTTTTCGGCTCACCTTGTGAATTTTTTTTTTTACGCTAGCTGATGCTATGAAAAATACGGTATCAAGTTTCTTTATTTATAAAGATTTAAAATTTTAAGCTAGCCCATCCGGTAAAAAATTCCTAGCTCCGCCATTGATGAATATGTCTTTGGATGAAGATCATAGCAGTGACTTTTTCAGCTTCGCCAACAGGCTCGTCTGTTGCTGCTTCAATGGCAGGACACAAATTCTTTGCAGTGAGGTGGAGCTTCACATCTTGGACCGACTTGAGGTAGTTCCTTCCAGAGACCTCCAAAGCAGTAAAGTCGAGTTTGTTTAAATTCGACATGTTCCTATCACAAAATGGATGAACAAGATGTGTTTAGTGTAATGGAGAAAAATTAATCCATTCACGTAGGAGTAGAACATATAGGTTCTAATAGACATGATTTGGTTTAATTTTGCATGAAAAAACTTCGAGTTTTCATGGGTGATGTGTTTAAATGAAAAACTTCAGGTTTTCAAACAAGGCATGTATAAGAAACTTCAGGTTTCAAAATAATTATGAACTTCAGGTTCATATATTTCTGCAGGCAAACACAAATATATATGAAAACAAATATGCAACAAGAATATGCAAAAATATAAAATTTAGGTTTACAATTATAATTGAATTTTAATTATTTGGGTTTCGGGCCAAATTAAATTGTGGGTGAAAAAAATATAAAACCCATTGGGCCTAAAATAATTAGGCAAATAAAGTCCGGGGCCCAAAAAAAATAGAGGCCCACGGGTGGCTTAAAAGAAATTGGTCTGTGCTTCCTCGGGTTGGGTTGCTGCAGGCAAGCCCAAAATTAAAAAAAAAAAAATTAATACAGGCTGCTTCAGGTAAGCCCAAAAAATTGTTTTTTTTTTTTCCTTATCTTTCAAGCTGGGGGAATGGGCTAAGATAGGTGGGCCCAAAGGATTTCTGGGTCACTGCAAGGTGAGCCCAAGGAGGAAAGAAAAACAGGTTGTGGAGGGTTCAAACCCAAAAAAATCGTGGGTCACAAACCCAACCATGTTGGGTGTGTACTGCCGGGGAAGAACGTCGGGTTTTGGTTGACGGTGTCGTGTTAGGCGGTCGATGTTGGGACAATGATGATTAGTACGAGTCCGTGGGTCGCCAAAAACCTCAAAAATAAGAACAGAGATTTGAAAAAAAAAAATCTTGACATTCATTGTGGAACCTTGGAAATTTTAATTGGGTTTTCGGAAGAAAAAAAATCCGATGAGATTCAATTGAATCTCGGTCAATCGATGTCAGGGATAAGCTTCAGGCAGTCAAACATGGTGACCTGAGGTATGATGATGGGCTGCAGACCATCCTGCAATGGTGGAGATGCCATAAAGAGTGTCTGGTTTCTGGGTTATCAGTCTTTGAGCCCTCATGAGGACTCGATGCAGGCTGCAGGCCTGGTGGTGAATGGGTTT